GGGCCACGGGGGGCCCTCAGGCGCCCTGGCTTCCCCCCCCGCCCCAACTTGTGGCAGCACCCAACCAAGTGCCCCCACCCCAGGGGCTCAGTGTGGCACCCATGGGTCCCTGACCTGCCAGCCTGGCTGCAGCCCCCCAGGAGGGAGATTTACCCCCACACTGGGGACCCCCGGGGACCCAGGCCCCCCTCCTCATGGGGAGATGCTCACCTCGGAAATTGAGTGCGGAGGCAAAAGTCTGGTGCATGGGGATGCTGATCCTGCGGAGACACAGAGAGGAGAGCTCAGCGCCAGCCAGACCCAGCCCTCGGGCAGCTGCTCATGGGGTGGGAGCCCCAAAAAACAGCTGACCCTGCTGGTCCCCCCACCTAGTCCTGCCCCCTCGCTACTCACCGGTTCTCCTCGCCTTCCAGCAGCTTGCGGTACGTGGCGATCTCCACGTCCAGGGCCATCTTGACGTTGAGCAGGTCCTGGTACTCGCGTAGGTGCCGGGCCATCTCGTCCTTTAGGTGCCGGATCTCCTCCTCCAGCCGGGCGATGGTGTCCTGGTACCCGCCAGCCCTCCCCGCAAAGCGCTCCTCCATCTCCCGCATCTGGCGCATCAGTGAGTCGTTCTGGGGGGGACAGGGTGGTTCAGCGAGGGGGAAGACCCAGAGGGGCCATGGGGCACCTGGGGTGGGAGCTGGGGATGCTGGGGGGGTCCTAGGGGAGAGCCAGGGACCTGGGGAGAGCCGTGGTCAGCCCTGGGCTGGATCCAGCTGATGTGGAACCATGATGGGTGGCCGTCACCCTCCATCTGCCCAGTGCTGGGCAGCAGGGTCTGGCGGGGGCAAGCTGGTAAGGTGCTGGGCAACCCCAGCACCCTCTGCCCAGCTGCTCAGGCCACCCAGCAAAGCCATCCGACCCTGGCGGGACAGAGAGGTGCGGGAGCACCGGACGGCTGCCCAGGGGTGGTACTGACAAACTGGTGGCTGCTGGCTGGCTCCTGTGACTGTGACAGTGTCAAAGAGGGACTGTTGTGCCCTGTTTGTTCGCAACCATCTTCCCAGCCTGCAACCAGACACCCTGCACCCACCTGCCTGGAGCCTCCGGGGCTGGGGCACCTTTTGCAATCTGCGCTTTGACCCTGGGGCTCTGCCAAAATGCCTCGCAGAGGCCCAGACTGCTGCTGGGGGGTCTGGGGGGGGGGTCCCCCCACGGCAGCAACTCGGAGAGCTGGGAAGAGCCCCCCACCCCAGAGATGTCACAGAGGTCCCCGAGCAGCCCTGGAGCAGCCGGTCCTTGCAGGGAAGCTGGGGGTCTCCCCAACGCTGCCCATGGCTCACCGTGCCCTTGAGGGCATCGATCTCGCAGGTGTAGGACTGGATCTGGTGCCGGTACTCCAGCATCTCCTGTTTTGCCTGCCGCAGCGCGTCATTGTTCTTGTTGGCTGCCTGCGTCAGGTCAGACACCTGGGGAGAGGCCAGGGTCAGCGGGCACAGCCACCGGGATGGCCGGGACCCGCCACGCCAGGGCCAGCACGGAGCCCACCGCCTCCTGCACCTTGGACTTGTACCACTCTTCGGCCTCGGCGATGTTCTTGGCAGCGATGCTCTCGTACTGGGCGCGGATGTCCCGCAGTGCAGCCGTCAGGTCAGGCTTGGAGACGTCCATCTCCACCTGGATGTGCTGCTCCTGCAGCTGAGCCTGCAGCTCCCGGATTTCCTGGAGGGACAAGGTGATGCCTTAGGGCACCCGCTCCGTCCCCCGGCCCCATGGGTGCTTGCGAGAAATGGGGCCACCCCCAACCTACCTCTTCGTGCACCTTCTTGAGGAAAGCTATCTCCTCCTGCAGGGACTCGATGCGTCTTTCCAGGTCTATGCGTGCCAGCGTGGCCGCGTCCACGTCCTGGGGGGACACAGAGTGAGGGGTAGCAGGGGGGTGAACACCCCTGGGCGCGTGGGGGGAACACAGGGACCACATCT